CAAAGCACCAACGAGCTGAATCCAAAGGAAGAAGAAGAAAAAAAGAAAAAAACAAACAAAAACTTATGAAACAAGCTTAAACCCCTCACCTATTTCTTGTCAACTCAGTAATTTTTAAATTGCTTAATGACTTCATTTTTTTTTTCCTTTTTGAGGAAAAAAAAATCCCTTGCAGGCTGAAAACTTGTATCCTAAGTTTTTTCACCTAGCTCTGTTTTGAAAACAATAACATTTTTACACACACACTCCTTAAAAGATATTGTAATGGGAAAACTACTCTTGATTTCCATGCCAATTTACCTGAGAATATTTCTTGCACAGCTGAGTTTTTCATTCTAACCAACTATGCTAGGACAGCAAACAGAACACTTTAAAGAAGATTGTGCTGCATTAGTACACTGCCACAGGATGGCTGGCCCTGTAAATGAAACAGGCCTGGTGTCAGAGCAGGTGCTCCCAGTTTGGCCAATTAAGAGAGTGGGGCAGCACCTGGGGCTATAAAAGGTCAGGGAGAATGTGGGGGAGGGGGAGTTGAGACCCTGTTTGAGAGAGACCTGGAAGTTAGGAGACTGGAGGCATTGTCTTGGGAAAGCTGCAGAGAGCAGAGGGCTCCCTGGAGGCCCTCCCTGGTGAGAGGGAGGGATTATCAGAAAGCCAGTGGTGGGGCTGGCCTGCTTCAAGAGCTAGTGCCAGCTGGCTGAAAAGGGCTGAAGTCAGGAGTCGGTGCGGTGGCTAGTTGGCCACTCTGCCAGAGCCTGAGCCAGGACACTGAAAGGGCTAGGGAGGCAGTGGAGGTGCTAGCTTGCTCACCTTCATGAGGCAGAAAGCCATGGCCAGAGAGAAGGTGGGAAAGACCTGAAGGCTGAGAGCAGAAGAAGGCCGTGTGAGGCCTATTGGCTCTCTGAGTCAGAAAGCTGCAGGTGGAGGGCAATGGAGGGTTGACGGTTGTGAGTGACCCGTGGTGAGGGAGACCAGAGCCACACTAGAGAGCTGGGGTGTGGTGTGGGACACCAGGGCTCTACTTAATATTGTGTCTGGACTATGGATGTGGGACTTGGTGTTTTGACTTATTTTATTATGGTTTATGTTCCTGGGGCATTCTTTTGTAATCAGTTAACCCCACAAGGGCCAACTGTACTCAAAAAGACTGTTTAGACTATTTCTGGGGACTCTGAGGGTGGGAAACTGAGGCAGGTGCATGTGTTATGCCACAGCCTGCTGCAGGAGGGCACTCCAGGCGGGGCTGCCTTATCACATACACTAAGGGACTATTCTGTTCTGGTCGGTCTTCCTGTGTCTCGCTGAGTCTAATGCATTACTATCCTCAATAGTGAAACATTGTTAGTGCAGTTATTTATCTGTATAATAGTTATTAGCTAGTTTTCAGTTAAGGAATTTGAAGATTTCATCTGAGTCTTAAGTGAAGCCTACTGCCAGGGCCGGCTCCAGGCACCAGTCCTCCAAGCATGTGCCGCCCTCCCCCGGCGCTCCGGCCGGCCGGCCAGGGAGAGCGCAGCCCCAGTCGGGCTCGCCGGGGAGAGCAGAGCCACAGCAGGCTCGCCACCCTCCCCCCGGCGCTCCGGCCGGTCGGGGAGAGCGGGGCCCTGGCCGGGCTCGCCGCCCTCCCCTGCCGCGCTCCCCGCCGGGGGGGGGGGGAGCGGCGGGAGGCTTTTTTGCTTGGGGCAGCAAAAAAGCCAGAGCCGGCCCTGCCTACTGCCCTGATCTTGGTTGGTGTCAGACTAGAGAAGGGAAGGGAAGGGCTGCTTGTGAGAAGAATTTGATCGTTTGCTACCACGGGCTGCTGAATGGCCTGCAGCACAATTAGCAAGACTTTGGATACAGTCACTGCTTCCTTTTACTGTTATGGCATCCAATGTTTCCCAGAACAAGGGAGGTGTACTGTACTCGGATGTAAAACCCCCAAATATAATCTTCCTTAGCTATCTATAAATACTGTTTTATAAGCACATGCCTGCATTAGCATTTAATGCTGTCATTTCTGCACGCCCCTATATAATGTGTGTACAATATATATCTCGTAAAGAGGAAACCTGGGTAAGAACATTGGGGAAAAAACATTGTAGCATTATATTTCATTGGCAAGAATAATCAGAAAAATAAGCCGGGTAAATAAAAAATTGACCCTAACTGTACAGCATTCTACACTGTGCATTCATACACCAACTCTGCTACCACTGAGACCTGGCTTTAGTTTGAGCAATTGAAATCTTTGTTTTTCTTGTACCAATTTAATTAATTTTTAATATAATTTGTTCTCTGTGTGTGAATAGTACTTTAGGGTCTGACTCTGAAGTGCTGATCACCTTGGAAAGGGAAGGATTTGAAAGAGATACAAAAAAGTCTAAATAAGATAAAAAAAAGGGCAAGGGAGTTCTATAAATGAGTTTGCTATTTTAGACTTGTACAAGTAAGAGTCCTTCTCTTTGGGCTCTGACTTACACTTTAATAGGATTTTATTTATAGTGTCAGTTGGGTTTTTGCAATCTCACTAGTTTGGCAACATATAACAGAAGTTAAATCTTTCCACCCTGTGCTCTCTTCTGTATTTCTCTGTTATAGTCTGTATTTCTCATATAGGCTGTTTGAACTATTTTTCTAGAGATCAGCTGTAGATTCAGAAACTTGAAAAACTGGGCTATTGCTAAAACCCTTCAGTCTATTTCTTGTTAATAGAACCTTTTCATAGAAGTCAGGTTTCACGATGGACAAAACTATTATAAGGCCCATCCAATTTTCTTAATAGTCTTTTTCATTCAGATGCTCACCGCTCTTACTGACTTCAGTGACACATGCATTCAGTGGCTGAATTTGACCCATATGTTTTTACATTAAAATGAACAAAATGTGAATGTTTGATTACTCTGATCAAATCTAGAAACATACATCTGATAATAATTCATGAGTAGGATCAGCAGTACTACACTTAAAAAATGGAGAGAGCTGACTTCATCAAATGTGATCCTTTTATATACTAACCAGCACTTTGAATTAATAACGTCCTCCTTTTTCATTGGTTGCTTTCCATCATAGTCCAATTACCTGTAGCATTTAATTATCTTTTATAAGAAAAAAGGAGAGAACAGTGGTGTTTTGTACAAAAGTCACAAGACAGAGAACAGCGAAGCTGTCAATGTGTTTTCTTGGTTCAGTGGTGGAAGAGATGGGAGTCAAGAGGGTCAGAATTTACCTTTATTCCCCATCTTTAAAACTTAGGGCAGAGTTTATATATAGAGTGTATATAGTGGTTAAAACAAATGTCATGGGTTCGAATTCAAGTTGGGCAACTCATTAACTGTGTGATCTTAGACAAGTCACTTAACCTCATCATCCCTTATCACTTCAGCTGGAAAACTGGATAGAAGTGGGGTATTACTGAAAATCAGATGGCACATTTGAACTAAGATTTCCAGAGAAAATAAATTACACCCGAACAAAAAGCAGCACTAGCACACAAAGGATAGGTTTCAGATATATGTTGGCTGATTGGACTTTTAAAGTTTAATCCATGCTCTTCCACAGGGGCTCGTTGCATCACCTGACCTTTGCAAAGATGAACTTGTAACTTTAGACTGTCCAATCCTGAGTGGCAGAATGTGTAACATGCCACAGTGGCAAGGCTAAGATGTAGGTTAGAAGATCCATCAAAAGACGCGCTAAAGGCATATTCATTAGAGGACGGGCAGTTATTTGTTGTGTGTAGAAAGAGTTATTCCTAAAATGTTCTAAAATTCTGAGGTGAATAACCTTTAGACCTTAAGAGGGTTATTGAAAGTAGTGTACATACCTTCCTTAGGGATTCTGCAGGATATTACTGCCTCAGAGATACACAGTTTAAAATCTAGATCCCATTTAACTCCCAGCCACCAAATCCTCTAAGTACCTGAAATCAGTTTGGCTCTCCTACTTAATGTGCAACAGTTTATCCATGTAATGGGTCTTTATTTTCTATTACCTGTCATTTTAAGGAGATTACCCTTGTGTATTATATCAACATAGCTTGATCTGCAGAAGATTAATTGCTCCTTTACCAGGTCTGAATACAATCCCATTTAACTCTTTGGTCTATATATTTTATGAAGGATTTGTAGTTTTTGGTTCACAGCCAATGCATTTTTTTATCAAGTTTATTCTTGAATCACATATTCCAGTAATTTGATAAAACAGGGAGACTGGAGGGGTGATATATCTATCTCATGCACAAATGCAGTAGAATATCTTAAGTTGAGGTGGCTGAAACAATATTTGTTTATGAAACAAAACAGATTAATGATATTAAACCATCTGATTCAAACGTGTTCAAGAGCAGTAATATTCCTTCAGATGTTATATCCCTTCTTCAGTACTAGCATGTGTCTGGATTCAGTAAATACTCCATCAATATGTTTCATGTCACATAAAGCCAAGCCAGGTTCCTATTCTTTGAATCTACTTACCCTGGGCCCTGTAGAGTTTTAGGAGTCTACTGAGGTGTTTTCTTTTCATTGTTATAATAGGTGTCAATTAGTGATCATTATCAAATGCTGTAGTGCAAATCTAGAATTGGTGATACAAACATAGGAAAATGTGCATACTATTTTCTGCCTCTAATTATTCATAGAAAAATGATTAGCCTCTCTAGCAGTAACAAGGTAATTTTGCAGCTGCATTTTCTGTTTCACATGAGTGAGCCAGTTTTGTCATTCAGCTTTAATTGCACTGCTAGGCAAAAAAGGCTCCTATACTCTTTCCGTGCCTGATTATAACTGAGCCAAAAGAACAAGCATGCATGGCAGAAGTTAAAAGTGCCTAGATTTCAGCTGCCCTAGATTTTTTTTTAGCTAAATTCTGAAAAAATAACAGGAGCAACATGATGTAATGGGGACTTAATTTCTTTGAGATTTACCAAAGACAGGAGTTTTGTTTTGCCTTAATATAAGTTTGTATTGTTTCTCTTGGAGAATGATTCTCAGAATTGACTCTGTGTAATCTTTGTTTTTAAGATCTGGAAGGTTTTGACTCTGTAGTACCAGTCGCTGAGAAGCTCAGTCATCCAACTACAACCAGACCAAAAGCTACTGGCAGACGACCTCCATCCCAGTCACTCACATCTGTATGTTCATTTTTTCTTCCTTTTTTTTTCAAATTACGTTCTGAATTTTTTTTTTCTTGGTAAGTATCCGTGTTATTCAATCCTTTCATTTATGCTTAGGCAGCTGCGTCACACGTACTAATGAAGTGCTGGAGGTGCCTCTCAGGGAGCCCCTTTTTAAGAGTATGCCATAATTTTGAATGTAAGTTCAAGAACCTTCCCTGTCTAAGAAAGCGTTTCACCCACTCTCTGGATACTACTAGATCATCCCCACCAAGCGTGACTGGAGCTCATAAAAATACCTCATAAGAGTTTTTGGAATAGACCAGATTGCACTTGAGGTGTCAAGTACTTTTAAAAAGTTTCCCCCAGGAGACTATTCCTTGGTCTTTTTAGGGGGTTTTCAAAACTGCCCCCACTGTCAAATTATACAAGTTGAATTCTGTGCTATATTGGCAATAAACACATGTTTTTACAGGAACAAAGTATCAACATTTCCAGCAAAGTGAACTTAATGTGCTGTTTGTTTGCCAAATGGTGTTGCCTTCTTCCTTGATTGTTATGATTACAAAAAGCATTTTTATTTAAATGGTAAATCAGATAAATATACTGAAGTCCCTCACCCTTCCTCTTTGCAAACATATGCATCCCTGGAAAAAATGGAGATTTTCACAGACTAAGGGGAATGTCTTTGTAGAAGCCTCTTTTAAGGTATGGGCTACTCATAACTGACACACACACTCTATATATGTTGCTGTAATAACATGCCAATTGCAGTTTTTCTGCATATTAAGTCATACTTTTAAATTTCATTGTCCACACACCTATAAGATGTTTGCATGTTGTTTCTCTCCTACTTTACTGCCTCTTCTATAAGAGCTGTTATTCTTGACTCATAGTTACTGTGAGAAACTCAAATTTCATCTCTTTTTTTTCACTACAAGAAAGAAATAGAAAGGGGCAATTGACAGAAGACTCCATGTCTTATACATCACTTGCACATCAACTATGACTTTTAGGAAACTCTTGCTCAACAAGCTGCACCCAATAAACAGTTTGTCTCAGATGAAGGAATCTAAATGATCTGTTGGTTGTGCCAAGGGTCACTATTTAATAGATCTGAAAACCCAAAAGACTCTTCCTGACATCTCCAGATACTAAACATGTGACTGGTATAGGGCACAGCCAGATAAGTTCAGTAGCAACACAATTAAAGAAAATGAAGAAATGAAAATTAAAGACAGGAAAAGATGGAATTGAAGGGATTGAACAAGAAGGGGAAAGGAAGAATTTCAGTAGCTACACATGAACTTTTTCCAGTTATAATATAATAGTGTAATATAATATTGTGATTTCCTAATAACAGGCCTTCTCTCACTTATCATGTACCCATGCAAGTACTCTCAATGATAAAAGGCAACCTATCCACTATTCACACATCGTGTTCAATTCTGTTATCAAGCAACCCACTAGCTGCTGTTAGCGCTAAATAATGTATTTGTTTTTACTCACATCCAACAACCAATGCCCCAAAGGTCCCAGGTGTATATCAGGGCCAGATTAATTTTGGTAAGGGCCCAGGTCTGTTACAGTTTTGGGAGTCCCTCCTTGCATATTCAGTTTCTTTCCTTCATTGTTTTACCACCACCTCTGTCCAATGTCAAAGAATCAGTTGTTAAATTACCTTGGTTATTTCAGTTTTCTTTTTAAATGTGATATGGTAACGCTGAATTAAAGTTAAAATGAACAAAACCATTTTAATTTTGGGCCATAACTAGTAGTAAGGCTTTAATTACCTAATTACCAATAGCAATGGTATTCAGTTACATTTTCTGATGAGCCAGATAAGGCAAAGTCCAAATCTTGGTGGGCCAAAGGGCTCTTCAGGTGTTTGCTCTCTAGTGAAACTGCCACTGGCCAGGGCTCACAACCTTCCAAGAGTGGTGTGCCCAATTGTATGTATTAATCTCAAAATAAAAGGTTGAGTGAGCCAGTATGCAACAGTGCAACAAAATCTTTCAAGCAAATAATTATATAGATTCACTGTAATACTATTAACACAGCATGCTATTTATATTAATTCTATTGAAACTGTGAAATTAAAATTATAAATTAAATTCACGAGGAATGAAGGGACATCTAACTTTCTTTTCCTTATTGTCTGAAATTTTGACACTTGCACCATCTTTTTTTTTTTAAACTTCTGTGCAGCATGTAATCACATGAAAGTATGTCAATTACTCATCACTTCATGTTGTATAACTATCTGAGTAAGCTCCTGATTAAAAGTGTACCACTGTAAGTAGAAATGTATCAACGCATTGTAGCTCTAATGTGTTTAAATGTAAATGAAAAGTTTCTACATTAAATACATGGCATGACAGTCAATAGAGGGAAAATAAACTGAAGTGCATCTGCACAGAACCCATCAGTGACCTGAAGAAGAGCTCTGTATCAGCTCCAAAGCTTGTCTCTCTCACCCATAGAAGTTGGTCCAATAAAAGATTTGCCTTACTCACAGTGTCTCTCTAATATCCTGGGACTAACACAGCTACAACATACATCTGGTGCCCCCATCAATACTGCCCAGCCCCCTATCAGTTCTGCCCTCTTGCGCCCCCCGTCGGCTGTGCCTCCTCCCCAGCCTCATCTCTGCTCCTACTGGGGTTCTTCACCCCCCTTTTCCAGGCCAGAGAGGGCTGCAGCAGAGTCCCCTCTCCCCCTTCACCTCCCTCCCTCTTCCCTGGTCAGGAGTTACAGGGTGGGAGAGGGAGGAACAGAAAAGCCATCCCTGCTGAGGGGGTGGTGGTGCAGGGGAAGAGCGGGTGGAGCTGCCCAATGCTGCAGAGCTCTTTATGCTTCTTCCTCTCCACCTGTGAGCAGGGGCATCCCTCCCTTCCTGTGAGAATAGGCCAGGTTCCTGAGGGGAGAGGGAGGGAGGTCTGCTCTGATTGGCTGTTGCTTTCCAGGAAGTGTGAAGGAACATGACTGCCAATTGAAGATGCTATAAATTATATATCAATATCTAGATCTATAATTTTGCTGCCTCTATAGGCCCTGCATTAATCCAGCCCTTAATGTATGAAGACATAGTCCAGACTACTAGCTCCACATAATAGGGCCTCCCTTTCATCTGTTAAAATACCATTGAGAGGGAGTAAAGCTATCTTTTTCTAACTTTTCTGAATCTGTTATATAGATCAAATTGTGCCCAGCTTCCTGGTGTGTGACCAATATCATTTTGCTGTTTTAAAAAAGCAAAGATTTGATAATGCACAAATGCTCAATCTTTTGTGTATAATTTTCATTTTTTGTTTTTGCATGTCGGGATGTCTAAATGAGAGTGTGCTATGGCTAACACTAATGTCTCATGTTCATATGCTGAAAATAAAGTGAAGGGAAGGTGAATGGCTCATCGTGGAAATAAAAGAGAACAAAAACGGAAGGTTACATTACTTAAAATAAATCTAAGAGCCAGTTTGTGGTTGATTCTGTGCAAGACGCAGGCGTTGGAATGCAGGCGTTGTGTACAGAGAGCAGTACTAACCTCTCCAAAAGTAGTAGAGTGAGGCCTGCACCTGACCAAGCCAAATGCACCCTCTCCCAGTGCGGTGGAACTGAAGTAACAGCAGCACACACACCTTATTAACCTCAGGAAAATTCTGCCTCATTAAACTAAAATTCTTCTGGGGGGCAGGAAGGCACTGTGCATCTTCTTCTGAACAAAGAGTTCCCCTAAATCGCAATATAGCCATTACGCATTTGTCATTTCAATGCCTATCTTTCCATTCGCCACCCTTTAAAACAAGGTATTAATTAAAACAGAACTTTGAAAATCTTCCTTTTGAATTATAAGTTGTCTTGTATAACTTTTGATATTATTTGCTATGTAATTTTCTTCTTTTAAAAGTAGTCTAGAATGAAAATATCTGGTTTTATTGTTTTGCCTATATAGTCCTCCCTTTCAAGTCCTGATTTCTTTGACTCACCAAGCCCTGAAGAGGAAAAGGAAGAACATGTGTCCATTATACATAAAGCAACTGAAGTGTCAAAGAAAACAAAGACTGTTACAATATCACAAGTAAGTTAATCAGACTGTTTTGATTACTCTGCATCTGCTAACTTATCCTCAAGTACATGCATTGTCATTTATTTTATTTATTTCATGGTACCCATCATCTCAGTAACTGGGCACCTCAGGGTAGTTAGTTTTAAAAAATACATATACTGTAATACTGAAGTATTGTCCTACAGCGAAACACAAGATGGAGGCCTAGTCTACACTAGAAAAGGTTTGCCCGTACAGCTAAGTATAGCTATATGGACAAATCCTCCTACTGTAGACACCTTTTATACTGGCAAAAAAGTGTGTGTCCCAATATATCTTATACCAACTCCCTGAGCAAAATAAGCTGTACTAGCAAAACTTTAAATGGTACTGGGTGAGTGAACAGTCTAGAACATGTCATATTGATAATATATCATCACAGTAATCTAGAGAAAATGGAACCAGGTTAATAATGAATACAGACATCTGTATTTACTGCTCTAAACTATCTTACTGTTCTAGCTAAACTTCACAAGGGAGCTGCGGAGGACTATTGTTAAGGTTTTAGGCACCAAATTTCATTTAACTTAAACATTTGTTTTATTCTGATTCTAGTTCTCTGGATCCTAAATGTATGAAGCACACTTCTAGAGGAAAAAAACAAAATCCTAGCATGGTCTAGTGGATATCAGACTGGGAGTCAGGAGACCTGGGTTCTATTACCTCTACCACCTTTTGAGACACCTTGTGCCTGTACTTCTGTTTCCTCTTCCACGCTTTGTCTTATCTGCCAAGGGCTTGTCCACATGTAGTTTTTGTACCACTTTCACTAAATCAGTTTTACAGGCATCAACTATATATTTAGAAGCACCTTTAAACTGTTGAAACCTGCCCACAACAGGGGTTGTACCACTCTAAATATATCAATATAAAATCACACCCCATCTGAAATAAATTGGTATAAAATTTTTGTGTAGGCCAGCCCTTAGACTGTAAATTCTTTGGGGCAGGACCTGTTTCTTACTGTGTGTTTGTACAGTGCCTAGCACAACGGGACCTCTAGGCACTACCTTAACACAAAATATAAATTCTAGATGGGATATTTTAAAAAGAAAGAGAGCCACATTTGTTATGGTGTTACTGAAAGAACACTTTCTGTATTGCTCCCTGTGCTCCGTGCAGCATTTAAATCAGCAAATACTGTTCCCAGAGTTCTGCCAACATCAGTAAGTGACAGAGTTTAGTCTAACCTGTGCCTCAATTCCTAATCTGTAAAATAGGAATAATACTTCCCCACTTCACAGGTATGTTGTGTGGATAAAAATCCATTTTTTTTTTATTCAGACACTCCAGTGATGTGAGCCCATATAAGTAACTACATAGATAGATTAAGACAATGAAACTTCCAAGCCCCAGAATTCCTGTATGAAAGTGTAGAGATGTAGACATGAGCAGAAACTCAGTACCAAAGTTACACAATTCTTTTAAAGTAGTTGAACATATTATGTTTCTCATTGATAGATGAATACTTCCTGCAATATGTGGTACATTTGTTCTGATGGAAGATAAGTCAGGGAGGTTTAAGGATTATATAGCTCTAAGTAATAGTATCGGTAAAGTAACTTTTCCTTTTCTTTAACTGTGTTTTGGACTGCAGACAGAATCTTTCAATTACTAGTTGAAAATCACAACTAATTTGGTACTGCAAGAAATCCTACTTAGTTTCTCTGCATGACACAAGTTGCATTCTCACAAAAATAGGTCAGCTTAGCTAAGCGTACTCTGACTTATAACAAAGTTCTGTGTAAAACATGTATCAAGCACTTAATTTTGTTAGAGAATTGCCTGTGTCGTCTTAATAAAAATGTAAAATCTCTGTTTTTAACTCTTTTCACTCTTGTACCTGCCTTATTGGTGACCTACATTTTGGTAATGTTTTTTCCTGGTCAATTGCAACAATACTGATGGAAAACATTTCAGTCAGTGATCGGCTGGGCTGAGGGTCCCTGGCAGGCTCAAGCTTAATATTGTGAGTGTTCAGAAAGACAGATTTGAGTACCAGTGGTGTATCATATCCATTGTGCCATGTTCAAGCATGGAAAGGTTCTAACCAAACCCATCAGCATGACTGCAGGGGAGTAAAATATACCTAATACTGAGATGTGCTTCCAATTCAGGCAACTTAATATTCCTTGTTTTTTGTTGACAGGTGTCTGATAATAAAACTTCATTGCCTCCAAAACCAGGGGGTTTGACTAGTGGGAGTAATATACAAGCATCATTATCCTCCTCATCCTCACCTGCACTTCATTCAGTTACTGTGGGAACAACAGGCCATAGGTCAAATTCCCCATCTTTGTTCAGTACTGAAGGAAAGCCAAAGACTGAGCTCTCAAGCCAGGGTCCGGCAGCCTTGGAGGAGCTGAGGACACAAGTTAAGGAGCTAAGAACTATCGTTGAGACAATGAAAGACCAGCAAAAGTAAGCATTAGAAACCACAACATCCATTCGAAGCATCTTTACTGTGCTTTGTACCAATCTTTTCCATATAATATATGTGTTTGTGTGTGAAATTCCTTTGATCTTTTTGTCAGACAAAAAGATTTCATGAAGACAGATAGATGTTGAGAAAAATTTTAAATCACCAATACAGTCAATCTGATAGTTTGTAACAGCTTCTCTGGAGCTATGTTGTTTTATCGTATAAGTACATGTTTACCTGGACTTTTTAAAAAGCTGAACTGTAGACTGATCGAGGTTAAGGAGTCTAACAAGATGCTACTGTCTAATCCATCAGTGGCCATTTAGGGACTCTTAAATATGTTGATCTGAAAGCTGAGAAGCATTTCTAGTGGGCTTTTATACTAAAATTCTTCAGTAGTTGTTAAACTGTTAATACAATTGCCCAGAAAGCTGTTCCTCCAAATGATTGTGTCACAAGTGACGGGATTTCAGAGGGTCTGGAGCCCATCTTACCATGATGTGAGACACTCCAGCCCCCTCATGAAGTTCAGCCCTGCTATAAGCCAGCAGAGCCTCTCCATCCTGCTTGCAGTGTTCTCACAGAAGGGGAGGGAGGGGGAGGAAGCAAAGAGCACAGCAGCCCAGCATGGCTCCATTCCTTCTGCCCCATTGCCAGCATGGTGCCTCTGCTCCTCACTGCATTCCCCTGCAGCACCTGGGCAGGGAAGGGGCAGAGAGAGGTGAAGAGCCTGTGGGAAAGGGGAGATGAGGGGATGCTGCTGTATACCCCCAGGCCTGGGAAAGGGGAGTGAAGACCCCAGGAGGAGCAGTGGTGTGGCTGGGGGAGGGGGAGCTGGAATGGGGACTGATGGGAATGGGGGCACTGAACTGATGGTGGGGGCTAGGGTGTTCTGCTGGGTTTAAGGAAGTGGAGAAGTCCCAGGAAGCGCAGGAGGGAAGAACAATTAAAATAAAAATGAATTTTTTTAGCTATTTGGACAATTATGAGATTTTTAAAAAATAATTTATTGTAACTACTGGATAATGTATATAGTTACACAGTTATCCAAATTACACAAAGAAAGAATGGTCTAAAGTTATTTGTTAAATACTTTGAATGTGACTGAATTATTTAAAAAATAATGTTTAGGGATTATAAGTATCATTATTGCACTGAAATATAGAAAGCTCTGAAAGATGGTTTATGTTGTAAACATATTCATGTAGATAGAGATCATTGCAGCTCACATAAATGTTTATTGAAAAATAATTGGAAAACTTGATCCATAGCAAGAGTGCTTTGTGTTCTTCTTCAAGAGGTGTCCCTGTGGGTGCTCCACTGTAGGTGTCGGTGCGCCCAGGGCCGTTGTTCGGAGATTTTTACAGCAGTACCTGTATTGGCCGCACATGCGCGGAGCCTGCCTCACATACCAGTCTTATCTTAGTAGTGCGCATGCGCAGCCAAACTCCTCAGTTCCTTCTCTACCGTCCCCGGCCGGAGTCAGTCCTACAGCAGACTCGTTAAAACTTTTTCTCTTTCCCATTCTACATCCTTTTCCCCCTTAGTTTTGCACTGTAGTTACTAGATAAGTTCATCCATTAAAAAAAAACAAAACAAAAAAAAACAATTTGTTCCCACTTGTTTCTATCAGCCTCCAGCCGACGCTAATATGCCTGGCTCCCCAGGATTTAAGCAGGGACGTGCAGGGATGCCATCCCTATCTCAGATGATCACTCCTAGTGTATAAAATGCCTGGGGGAGTCCCACATTCCTCAAAAATGTGCCTATTGTTCCAAATTAAAATCCAGGGCACGTAAAGACAGAGAACTCCGACTGAAAATGATTCTTATGCAGAAGTCACTCGTACCTGCTTCTGACCCAGGTACGGGCTCCTCAGTGAACTGCAGCCCTCCCGCCTCCAAAAAGGACAAAAAAAGAAAACGCCTGCCTCCCTCACCCAGAAGGGAAACATTGCAAGCAAAAAGGTCGCTGAGCAGGTCTATTTCTTCTATGCAGACCTTCCTTTGATGGGCCGGTTCCCCCAGCATCACGCTAATCCCGCCTGTGGCTGCGTCGACAGCACAAGCTCCCGGTGCCGAGGCTTCAGGCTTCAAGTTGCCTGCCTCTCTCATGGCACTGTCCAGCACCGCAGTGGACACGGTGCCAGCACAGATGACCTTGCCGGAACAGACATGGACTGCACTTACCTCCACGGCATCTCCAACCTCAGCGCATGCATTGAGCACTACGGTGCAGAGAACGTCAGTGCCGAATGACCCTCCAGCACCGCAGGCGCTCCTAACGGAGGGTTTATCTCACACAGGCTCTCCAGCACTGCAGTTCATTCATTCACTGGACTACAGGTGTCACCTAACCTACAGTCACCACCACTTGACACCTATTTTTCTCCTGACATTCACATGTGGTCCGGACAGCTGTCTCTGGCTGCATCTCACTTTTCTAGTGATGAGGAAGCCATAGTGCAGGGAGACTTTTCACCATACCAATTGTCCCAGTCACAGACCCAAATCAGCACTGGTCATAGAAAATCTAGGTCTTCGTTCATCAAAGACCTCCCCTCCCTCCCTGGTATACAAACCCGTGGATAGCACCACCTATGCCCTTCCCTGGTCAGTGGCAATACTGTGGTCCCTGGGCACCATATAAGCGATTCCACTATGATTGCCAAGATGCCAAAAATAGGAACAATGCCACTTCCCCATCACCAGTGCATACGGCTACGAATTAGACACAACAACAAGCTGTTACTCCACACTTCAATGAACACGCTACACATGCTTCCCCAATCCTTGTGGAGCCCGTATCCACACAGGATGAGGCTATACTGCCTTCCTCCACCAACACTGTCGGATGATTTCTTAAAATTTCAAGACCTCTTCAAAAGAGTCGCCAACGAGTTGAGGATTAATCTGGAGGAAATTTCTGAAAACCAACATGAGTTGACTGACATCCTGCAACCTTCCTCCACATCCAGGATTGCCTTACCTATAAATCCAGCCATTATGGATCCTGCCAAAACCATATGGCAGACACCGGCTACTAGCACACCTACCTGTAAGCGAGCTGACGGGAAATATTTTATTCCTTCCAAAGGGTCTGAGTTCCTTTTTACTCACCCAGCGCCAAACTCATTGGTAGTAGAGGCAAAAGAACAAACACCAGTTCCCAAGTCTACCCCAACTGATAAAGACAGTAAAAGGCTGGACCTGCTTGGTCGTAAAGTGTATGCTTTGCCCACATTACAATTCCAGATATCTAATTATGCAGCCGTTCTGGCAAAATATGACCACAAAAATTATAAGAAACTCATGGACTTTATTGATGACATCCCAGAGGGCAAAAAACCATCAGTTTAAAGCCATAGTCTCGAGGGTCAAATCGTCTCCCGTACCGCAGTACAAGCTGCGCTTGATGTTGCTAATACAGCTGCAAGGTCCACTGCTACAGCAGTCGTGATGCGTTGAGCTTCATGGCTTTCATCGTCTTCTTTTCCTCGCGAGGTTCAGAATACCATCGAAAATCTCCCTTTTGATGGTGAAAAACTATTTGTCAGTAACACCAACGATGTGCTTCACTCCATGAAGGACTTGAGAGCAACATTACGGTCTCTCGGTATCCAAACCCTTGCAAATAGGAGGAGACAATATAGATACCAACCTTATCAACATCCATGTCACCCAACGTATACTCAACAAAGTCATAGACCATATGAACAACAACGTCAGTGACCAAGATATCAACATCGCCGTACCAATTCATCGGCTCCTTGTCAACCCTCTCCCAGCAAACTTGAAGATGTGATCAAGAGTATAGAAAACATCATCCCTACTTCAGTGCCCATTCCCTTCCTATCTTTGCCCTCCCCCACCCTGTCACTTTTCAGGGACCCCTCTCACAAACAACTGCTCCACCAAGAGGTGCATCACCTCCTCCAATTAGGAGCAGTAGAACCAGTGCCTGACCACCACAGAGGAAAAGGGTTCTACTTCTATTACTTTTTAACACAAAAGAGAACTGGGGGATGGCGACCCATTCTCGACCTCAGATGCCTCAATAAATTCGTTACATAAAATTTTTTTAAAAATGGTGACTCTTGCAACCATAATTCCAGCACTGGAGCAGGGAGATTGGGTTTCAGCCCTCGACCCGTAGGATGCTTATGTTCCTGTGACCATACATCCTGCCCACAGATGTTTTATTCATTTTGTTCTGGGCTCACAACACTACCAGTACAGGGTCCTACCTTTTGGCCTCTCGACAGTGCCTCATGTTTTTTCCAACCTCCTCGCAGTCGTAACAGCTCATCTCAGAAGTCAGGGAATCATAATTTTTACTTACCTCGACAACTGCCTTTTCAAAGCCAGGACCCTCCAAGAAGCCATTCAATCCACACAATGGACAGTCCAATGTTTCCATGCTCTTGGCCTGTGAATGAACAAAGAAAATCTTCACTCACTACCACTCAACAATTGAAGTTCATAGGAGCACATTTTGACTCACGCAAAAGAATAGCATCTCTCCCACTCCACCTTTTTAAAACCATCAACCTTTTCGTTCCCAAGCTGTGCAACAGTCCACAAGTGGCTGCACGAGCTTGCCTACAACTCCGAGGCCACATAGCCTCTTGCACTTTTGTAGTCAGGAACGCTCACCTCTTCATGAGGTGTTTCTAAAGCTGGATTCCACTGTCTACAGACGAATGTCCATGGTCTGAACTAACTTTTATATGTACCTCCCAGAGTCAAGGACTCCCTCCACTGGTGGACATTGCCTCACAACCTTTGCTCTGGGGTCCCCTTTCCACAGGACGTCCTGTCGGTTGTCATAACTACAGGCACATCCCTTACTGTAGGGATGTACAGTACACATAGGGAGTATAGGGAGTACACATCCCCAATACACTGCCCAGGGGCTTTCATCTCCTGCAGAGACGTCCCTTCACATCAACATCTAGAACTCTGAGCAATACATTGCTTTCATGTTCTATGTAAACAGGCAAGGGGGAGGGGGAGGGGCGATCCCACTCCCTTTGTACATAAGCGATGAAACAATGGAACTGGTGCCTCAGACACAATGTCTGATTATCAGCTGCATACTTACCTGGCTCTCTCAATACCACTGCAACGACTTCAGCAGAAGATTTCTCATAGACCACGAATGGGAACTAAATGAGGATATAGTACTAGACATATTCCACACATGGGGATACCCAACTACTTTTCACAACTGCAGCAAACAAGAAATGCCCAAGATTTTGTTCCAGAGTGGGACTAGGCAAACACTCTTCAGGGGATGCGTTCATGTTCCCATGGAACACCGACCTAATGTATGCATTTCCCCGATACCACTCATACACAAAGTATTGATAAAAATACAAACAGACCAAGCCAGGGTCATAATGATAGCCCCCGTGGCCCAGACAGGCATGGTACCCTTTCCTTACCAAGATGTCGTTTTCCGCACCCATTCCACTACCCTCCGCCAGAATCTCTTGTCCTAACAACATGGTCTACTACTCCACCCCAATTTAACCATGTTACACCTCAAGGTTTGGCTCCTTCATGGTTCTCTCATGCCGAGCGAACTTGTACTCCTTCATAGCACAACAAATTCTACATGCACCACCTGCCTTCATAACTGGACAAGATTTACACACTAGTGGGCTGTCACAAAAACCGCTCCTTTTTTTCCACACCTCTCCCGCTAATCCTCGACTGCCTGTTAGAGATTAAACTCTCTGGACTCTCCCTGAGTCCCATCAAAGTCCACTTGGCTGCAATTACAATGTTCCATAATGCCATCGATGATAGGACTATCTTTGCTCACCCCATTACTAAGCGATTCCTTAAGGGACCGCATACCCTATACCCAGACATCAAACCGCCTAATCCACCTTGGGACCTTCCCTTAGTTTTAACATGCCTAACCCAAAAACCATTTGAACCATTAGCCACATGTTCCCTCCTACATCTCTCTATGAAAACTGCATTTCTGGTAGCAATTGCCTCTGCGAGACGCACAGGAGAAATTGCAGCACTCATGGCAGATCCGCCATAAACCATATTTTTTAAGGACAAAGTCACCCTACGCTTACACCCCGAAATTCTACCAAAGGTGCACTCATCTTTCCACTTCAATGAGCCTATCTATCTCCCTACCTTTTCCAGGTAATTCCTTTCAATCTACAATGCACACTTTGGACATGCGCAGAACTTTGTCCTTCTACTTTGACAGGACTAAAACCTTTAGGCGTTCCGACAAGCTATTCGTCCCCATTGCAGAACGCTCTAAGGGCTCATTTATCTCTAATCACAGACTTTCCAACTGGATCTCAAGTTGCATTTGTCTCTGTTATCAACTACAGAAAGTGACTCCTCCTACTTTTATCAGGACTCACTCCACCAGATCCATGGTGGCCTCAGTGTCCTTTCTACATAATGTCCCCCTTAAGGACATTTCCAGAGCTGCCATTTGGGCTTTCGAAAATACGTTTGCAAAACATTATGCTCTTACACAGGGATCCATCACTGATACGCATGTGGGCAGAGTTGTTCTATCTACTGCATTCCTTCCAGATCCGAAGTTCCTACCTCCTTGAGAGACGCTGCTTTTCAGTCACCTACAGTGGAGCACTCACAGGGACAACTCTCGAAGAAGAGGTGGTTACTCACCTGTGCAGTAACTGACATTCTTTGAGATGAGTGTCCCTGTGGGTGCTCCACTCCCCACCCTCCTCCCCTCTACTTCGGAGTTGGGGCGGGCTCCGTTGTAGAGAAGGAACTGAGGAGTTCGGCCGTGCATGCGCGCTACTAAGATAAGACTGGTATGTGAGGCAGGCTCCGTGCATGCGCGGCCGATACGGGTACTGTTGTAAAAATCTCCGAACAACGGCACAGGGGCGCACCGACACCTACAATAGAGCACCCACAGGGACACTCATCTTAAAGAAGATCAGTTACTGCACAGGTGAGTAACCTCCTCTTTCTTGGGTGTTCATTATTCATTTTCCACCTCCATTTTACAGGCCTTGTATGTTTTGAAATACGTGTGAATTAGATTTTTCATCATATTTTATATTTATCACATTATAGTGCTCTCCACTGAGTACATTTATTATACCGGTGTACAATAAATTAACATAAGTACTCCCCCTCTTTCCCACCAGCCTGGGTGTCTTCCCTCTCTCTATCCGTTCTCTCTGTTTTTGAAGGGATACTTTTGAAGGGGTATCCATCCTAATAAGGAGATACCATTAACAGAGGCCACTTAGGACTAGCCTAAATAAAACAAATATTTAACCATTTTGCATCTTCTCCATTCTAATTCTCCTTAAATATGTTTGTGTACCTTCAGCGTCCCCATTTGAGCAGCCAGGGAGAAGCATGTGTGCATTGAAGTTGACTTTTCAACCTGAAATTAGCATACACACATTACCAAAAGAGTAGAGGGAGGTAAAAAGTCAAAAGACAGACTAAAAAAACATGGTTTGATGATGTTTTATAAATCTCATTACTTTTTTAGGAACTGGCTCATGGTTTTTGATCTCATGAGGCTGGCAATACCGTAACTGAATTGTGATTAATAATGAGTTGAAAACTCTCCTGTTATTATTCTGAGTCTTACATTTATTTTTATTCTGGGGCAGGGGGGGAGATATTGGGAGAGTTTAAACTGCTCAAATCTCAGAAGCTGGGATTTTCTCATTATTTTTGCCCTTCCTGAATATTGCTGATATCTTCCATTGTTCCCAGTGGGAATGAAGTCAGGGTGCCCACTGGAAAGATGTCTGCCATGTGTGGCCAGGCCAAAAATGGTAAAGGGGTAGGGTAATGTAGAGGTTTGGGGAAGAGGATTGTAGGAGTACTGTTAAAGACACTGTAGTGGCAGAGGAATGTGACAAAACAAGGCGACTGTAGGGGAATAAAAGAACACTGGGGAGGGCTGTCAAGTAGGGGTTGTCGAGGTGAATGTGGCCCAATTTGGGCCAACTGACACCTATTCCCAACCTGCCTTGCATAGCCACTGGCCCCACAAGGCCTCTGGCCTGACATTCTAACAGGAGCTGCCTCCAACTACTGGTTTCTGGCTTGCGGGACAAGGCAATAAACAGGAATGTGACAAGATTTATTACATGCAGTGTTGCTGTAGCCATGTTGGTCCCACCTTATATTTAGCTGTGACGTTCTGAGTACCTTTCCCAGACCTGAAGAAAAGCTCTGTATAAGCTCGAAAGCTTGTCTCTCGCACCAACAGAAGTTGGTTCAATAAAAGATATTACCTCACCCACCTTATCTCTCTAAGATTTATTATGTTCAGAGCACAGGCCTGGGACAGAAGAGAGGATCTCTCTATGGGAAAGATATAGTGAAACTTCCTCCTCCAAATAATCACATCCTGGTCTTACCTTTCAGAGGTCAGAAACCATTTCTTTTCCCTTCATTACATCCCCTGGACAACAGACCATTTTTTGGTGACCTACACTTGGGAATTATCTAGCTTTCTAAGTTAAGATGCAGTTTAAATAGTGCTTTGTTAAACAGTTTAAAACAGTTTAAATGTGTGATCGCTTATGTTACCAGTTTCTGTAACCTACCAATGGACTAATCCAAATTTCCTATTGTCGTATACAAAAAATGAGAGCTATAAACAGTCCTATTTTTGTAAGTTGAACAAAAATGGTCAGCTGCTACACAGCTGTTTTCCAAAAGCATAAATGAAGTCACTTCTGTCTATTATCTGTTTTAAATTAAACTAATGCAAAATGTTTTAAGGATATAAATACTTCGATAAATCATTATTGAGAAAATACAGTGGGGAAATGGTTCACAGATAATTACCTTTATTTTAATAATATGAACCTTTGCAATTTTTTCATTCTTTTTTTATAGAAAAGAGATTAAACAATTGTTGTCTGAATTGGATGAAGAAAAAAAGATCCGTCTACGATTACAGGTACTTGAATCTTATGTGGTCGGAGACAACTTTATAGGGATACTGGCAGGTCAAATTTAGCCTCAAACTTAGGGCAAACAAGCTCTTATAAAACTTAAGATAAATATATTTGAATTTCTTTTTATATTAACAGAATGTATGTATATAAACAAATATATATTCCCCCTGCAGTGTTTGCAATCTATATGCTGTTATCACATGAAAATATGAAAATTTTCTGGAATCTGAATAATCTATTTTTATTGTCTAAGCTGAAGGAAATACAAACAAGTAAACAGAGTTTAGCTAGTGGAAAGTGAAATCTGTTTTTAAAATTCTTAGTTTTAATCATCTAATTTGTTCATAAAATAGATGAGAGAATTTATGTTTTAAAATGTGATTTACAGTCTGCCAGTGACTTTTTAAATAAGAATTGGTCTTATTTTATTTGAAAAGTTAATTTCAGCTAACAAGATTCTGCAGTTTCTCTTGCACACAATCTGATAGTTCTAAAAAAGTATCATTTTAAAAAATATATATTATTTCCATTAAGAGTCAAGGTTCTGCTTCTTTAACATTGAATATGACCTTACTTGGAGTCATCCTATTGAATCAGTCACTTGAGCAGTACTTGACACCGGCAACATGAGTAAATGTAGTAGAACTGAGCCATTATTTGGACCATCAGATATACTGCTTCATATATAAAGTAACTTTGAAACTGCTTTTCATGATTTGGGGATTGACATACTTGTCATTAACAAGGTTTTAGCATTACTTTGATATTTTTACTTTTATTTTGTGGCTGTATATTTTTTATACTAATGATGGAAAATCAAAACATGATTTCAATGGGCTGCTCTTACTTAATAACATACTGTTCAACACGAGTAAAGATAGCAGAATTGGGGCCTTCTGAATATTTCTTCTGCATAGGCAGATCTGTGAGAGGCCATAGTTTTTAATAATTAACAATTCAGCGAAGGTTAATAAACCTTTTATAGAAATTCTTGGATTGACCTAGCAGTCAGTACCATTCAGAGTTCTGGATTCCAGTTCCTCAGGACAGAGCTAAGTCTGGTCTAAATACAGAGCTGTTCTGCTCTAACTAAAGGTGTGATTTTTTTATAACAATTTTATAACTTTTGCATGTCGACATTCTTATATCAGTTTAACCTAGCTTATATTGGTTGAGCTTGCTAGCTAAACTGATATTATCAGTTTTAAATAGATACGAGAATCCACACGCACACAAGTTGCACTGATTTAACTAAACCAGCGTAACTTCTGTGTGAAGAGAAGCCTTTAGACTTGGAGTGCTGCAAAGGTTCAGTCTCCACTCAGTGGAGAAGAGTCTGAGTAAGTTCATGACATGTTCCAGTGACTATCTTTGCCTGGCTCTGGAAGAAGGTAGCCATCTCCAATTCTTTTTAGCAGGAATGAGAGTCACCGGGATGTGTGAGGCTTTTGCTGGTGGGAATAATAAGGGGATAACAGAGTTTCCTCTACTTTCAAGCCCACCACACCCTGAGATAAGATGCAACTGAATTTGCTGCTGGCACTATGCTTGAATTTGACACACCAATAAACCACCTAATGAGATTTTTCTTTGCAGATGGAAGTGAACGACATAAAGAAAACTCTTCAATCAAAATGAATACTTGATAGGTGGAATGTTACATTATTCATCATGACTGAGACTCAAATTTATGCCCCAGCCAAAATAACTTTGTGCCAAATGATTTAAGAATTGCCTCAATATCCCTTTGTTTGAAGGATTAGCACAAGAGTTTTTGATAGCACAACACAAATTCCAATGAAGAGGAAAAAATTCCACAGGATGCAGTTGCTGTATGGCACTGGTTGTGACTGAAATTGATCTTATTGTGCTAAAGTCTCTACTTCAAGATCACAAATGAAATGCAAACTCAGGCAGTTTAGTCCATAGTGGTACTATTTTGATGATATTTTTCCATAAATAAAATGTATTTCAGATTATCCGTTTACAAGCTTTATGATTTTGACTTTTTTTTAATTGTCTTTTGTCACAGATTCCTAAAATATTTGTACTGCATATAGCCAAGAATGAATGTTGATGTTTGGGAGGCAGGGGTATTATTTTGCTTCAGGTAGAACAGCCTACTTCTTGTGTTATGTTTTAAATTCTATTACATATGCAATTTTATGTCCAAAAATAATCTACAAGATAAATGTAAGTTTGTGTAGAATGGCTTATTTAAAAAAAAAAAAAAATCTTGTCTTTACAATGATTTGTGCCTTCTTTTTGCCACCCACTGATTGGAACTGGTTGCAAACCAGATCTAAATAATGTAGCTGCCATGATGACACCGGTCACTTAGGTCCACTAGAGGTCACTCTTCTAATGTATAGCTGCTCAGTCAACGTAGCCAGATGTGTGCTAAAACAGCATAAGATTGGGAGCGAGCAGCTTTGTCTTACCAGCTGTGGTTTTTTAGCTTTCCTGTTTAATAGGACTCTCGTTCAGCTAGAAAATTCACCTCTGCTTGATTTTCATTAGAAAAGTTAAACACCTGCCTCCGTCCCCATTTTTGCACACTTTGAGTGAACAGAATATGCATTACTAAAGCAAAAATAAATAAAATTAACTAAATATCATCAGTTAAAAGGTTGTATTATTTAATACACAAGGTTCTCTTTGTTGTGTGATGTTGTTTAACTTGCTATTTATGTGATGTCATTTGCCACATTTTGTTGTAAGCTTTCTAACATAGATGAAATAGAAGGATTTCTTTATAATACGTTTTAGCAGCTGTGCTTTCTTTCCTGGTTTTATGGAAATCAAGTTTAGAGAGAGAGAGAGAGAGAGAGAGAGTGTTTGTTTGTAATGGAGCTTTTCAACCTTTGAAAGTAACCTATTTCTTTCCTGTTAGCGCAATCTGAAAGCAAAGTATTATAAGACTGCTCTGGCTTCATATTTAAATGGCAGCAGATTTCATTTAGCCTGTGAAATGGTTTTAATATGTTTCTCAAATGCCCACTATGTCTGTTTATTGAGTTTATCTGAATCAGCTAAATATGGATATTTTTGCACAGCTTGTGGAATGAGTGATTGATAATGCTAGTATTAGGAAGTGATAAAATCGCACAAAGGATCTATTATTCATCATATCAAGTGTTATTAATTGATACCACCCTGGAGTTCCTGCATCACAGTTTACTATTCTTCCTGCTAAGGGGTGGATGGGACTTATTTCTCAATCTGTGAGTGCCATTCATGAACAGCTGGAGGGGTTCTCATTTGGTTATATGGAGAATTCTTTTATATATGTTTAAGCACACACAAACATCCCAGTATACAAATGTGTTACTTGAAGGATTCTCAACTGGGTGTTCTGCATGGCAATACAGAACATTATCATTGGGTCAATTTCCTTTGCTTGTGCTTTTTATGTAATGAAGGTGTCTGAGATTTCAACTTTTGTTAGTGAAAATTACAAGCTTTGATTTAAATTACAGTGTATTCTCAGTTGTAACTGGAACAAAAGCACTAATTACATATTTTGTTACTGAGATGCTTTTTATTTAATGTTTTTAAACAACTGCATTGAGATTTTTTAAAATAAAATGTATAGTCCCATCATGGTTTTCCAGCAATAAAGATCTTTAGGTTATTAATTTCTGTATCTTTTATGAGGCAAATAACAGTTTGGGGAGAATAGAAGGATTTAGGATGTAGCCTGTAAGGATTCTGCTGGGGTTCTGAACTGTGTATATTTGAAACATGTATACAGAATTAAACAGTTTCATAATGCAGTAGATTCCTAACTTCACCCATGGGGAAAAAAAGCTATGGTGCCAGTGATAAATTAAAGTATTGTTTCCTGGACTGTATCTTGAAATGTAAGAGGCAACTCTGAAAAGTTGCTTTTGTAAAAACCTGTCTGAACTCAGCATGGACTTTCCTGAAATTAGATTTCATCTATTTTTTTCTCCTGTTAAAATGGTAACTTGTCATTTTATAAGGCTATACTTAGGAGTCCGACATATCATGCTTTGTTAAAGAAGATAAAATGAGATTTTGTGAAAATATTTTGTTCAAAACTTTATTGTTCTGGGAGGAAGATTTCTAGGAAAAACAAGTTCTTCTTCTTCTTTCTGCATTTCATTATAATAATAGAAAAATTTACAAAGGACATGAAATCCCCCTTTAAAAAAAGGAATGATTCAGTCAGACCTGTGGATAGTAACTGCTCGGAGAACGGGTCATTTTTATATTCAAAGAAAAACAGAAAGTGCTGGGGAGCTACAAAGTCATTTTGAAATGAAAATGATGAAATATGTTTGAAGAGTCATGTCAAATTACTGCTCATTAACACACACACACACACACACACACACACACACACACACACACACACCCTCCCTCCCTCCCTCCAGTGGCAAACATGCAATTTGGTGATTGTTTTCTTGCCTGTGAAATTGCTGTAAAGCATCACGTTGATGCCTTTGAGTTATTATTAAAAGTTCAATTCCTTTTTCCTTCTATAATTACTTGTATCTGGGCCACCATGTTACATATCATTTGATTAATGGATGTTTTGCCTGTTTTGTGTACGATAATGCTTTATATAATTCAGTGAAAGAAATTATGTATACCTCAGGTAGCAAACTCCTAATAAACAGAGCCCCACAGTTTACAGATTACTTTAACAAATGCATTTTGTTAAATCTGTTGGGTTCATTTTGTATTTATGCAACTGGTAGGAAATACTGAAAATCCTTCAAAAAAATCAACACTGAAAGGACCTAGTTTCCGCTATATGTGTGACCATAATTGCTGTTAACATTACTAGAAGAATAAATGTTAAATGAAAATAGAACCCATAATATAAAAAGTATTCAAAGCAGGGATTAAATTCTAGTAGTGAAATTTCATTTTTGGTCAGACATTTTAATCATATTCCATTTATAAATAAGTTATAAATCAACTGTTAGTCCAACAGGTCGCTTATAGCCATCTATAACACTTTCAATAGATGTGCTTAAAACGATCTATAATGTACACTGCTCACATCTGTAACATGCTTGTAACATCTAGACATTATAAACTATTTATGAATGTTACCTTAATATAAAGTGTAAACCATCTTTCTATATCCATCAATATTTAAATGCATACCACTGCAAGGAAGATAATGGGTATGGGCAAGGAAAAATCTGCAGCCATGGATGGATGTGCAGAAATATTACTCCATAGCTATTTTAGTCTATCTTAAATCTGTTGTGTGTTGTTCTTTTACATTCAAGTTCCAGTAAAGATATAGAAATGTTTAGCCTCTCTGACAGGAAAGTTTGTCTGCCAAGTGAACTAGTCCCCTCTGCACCACCCTCTGCTGCCTTGTCACGTTTGGAAGCAGACAGACTGATATACTACTACTGTGCTAAAGCCCTGATGTTACAAGTTGTTCTGTGGTGAGCCCATTGGATTCAATGGCAGCCGGGGGCAGAGGTCAAGTGGGGCAGCTTGTGGGATCAGGGCTTATGTGATTTATAAGCATCTACTATTTGTTTTGATTGTGTTGAAGTGTTGCACTATGTCAGCAGTGTTGCCAACTCTTGTGATTTCAGCCTGCCTGACACAATTTTGGCCCCTGCTGAAGTCTCTCTCTCTCCCTCTGAGAGGCTCCAGTCCTGCCGGGGGGGAGGGGGACAGGGGGAATCCTTTGATTGGCTGCCTTTGCTTCCCCCATTCTCTACCTCCTAGGAAAGAGCAGCCAATCAGGGCTGCTGCAGGAAGTAGGCTGAGTTCCCCCCACACACACACCAGGAACCAGGAGGAGGTTTTTGGTAGGGGTTGGAGGAGAGGAAGCAGTAAGTAATGTTCTCACAGGAGGGGAATGGGAAGCAGAAAGAGCTCAGCAGTTGAGGGCAGTTCTCCCTCCAGTTCTCTCGCTCTATCCCTGCAACATAGGCCTGGTGAGGAGTTGTGAGGAATAACGCATGTTGCTGGGCAAACGACCGAGGTGGGGAGAGGGAGAAATGGGGGGAGGGGGTTGAGAGCTGGCAATGCTGCAGCTACCACACTGGAGGTAAGCAGGGGGATTCAAAAATCAAGACATTAAAAACACAATATAATCAACAAGAAAACACCTCATGATTTGGGGGGGGGGGCGAGGGGGACTCAAGATTGTTGGAGTTAGCAATACTACATGGGAACTGTAACTTACCATTGTTCAGAGCGGAGAAAAGGCCAGACCACTTAAGAGATTGTTTTATACCCAAAATAACGCTTGCTGTTTAGAATTCGATGAAGTGTATGGAATCACCATATTCAACTTCAATTACTGGTATCTGAAGGTACTAACAAGAAATCAGCTTTTTCCTGGGACCAGTGGCATGAATCACGAATTAAACTAGCCTGAGCATTGGAGACTTAACTCTAAGCTGCTGTCTTTTCATCCATTTCCTTCCTGCAGTCAATCCCCTTCACCTTTCCAAGCTCAGAGACTGACTAATTAATGACTATTAATGCTGGTGAATATCAAAAGGTTGAAAGTAGTATCCAGTTCCAGAGCCTCCACAGAACATTTGTCACCCCCACTAAAGTCTAGATCTTTACTACCTGCTGTTAGCTTCTAGAGTGGGGGAAAGGGTGGGAGGTCCAATGGCTTTTTGGGTTCTTCAAAGGGAAGCTGGTAGCAAGACATGGCATACTGAGATTCCCCAACACCCTGATGAGCCATACAGCGTAACAAACCTGAATGTTTAAAGTGAGAGAGAAAGCAGCAGGACCCAATAGAAGAGTGTCTGAGTTCCCCAGTTACAGAGCCAAGCCCCTGGAAAAACTCGTTTGGGGGGATGGGAAGAGCAGGCTTGCTGGGTTGTCCCTTCAAGTTCCTAAGAGAAAGTGGAAAAGTGGGCCACTCAGCTGTCCCCTTGTGACAGGATGGCCTATCTCCTTAAGGAGTTCTTGCCTTTTTCTCCTTTTCAGATTCAGTAAACTTTCCTGTTTTGGGTTGTTTGTGCGCATGAGAGTGGGATAGAAATGTAGTGTCAAAGGTCATAACACAGCAGCTATCCGTGTGTCTTTCTATCCTTTCCAGAAAACCAAGGGGGAAACAATTAGCCAAATACATAAGCTTGTGTGAAAATTACTGTTGAGTAGCCCAACCACAATTCTAAATAGAAGAGCCAACTTATTGAAACTGCTGGGGGACAGATGCAGCAGGTTACTAAATGGGACCCTGGGGAACGGGAAACAC